AGAGTAATTTCGTCATAATTTCAATTCTTTCTTCTAGTTAAATAAATAATATATTTTACGGTATGTTACTTACCTAATTATAGGTTCCAAAAGTAAATTAAGCTAATTAACCCTTGATTCTACTATTTTTATTTATCATTTCTTTCTTCGGTCAATTCTTTTATTAATTAAATGTTGTTTCCTTCCTTTCTTTTCTCATAACAAGTACCCATAAAACTCAAACCGAGCCTGGTTATAAGTGACATTGGCATGGATGTTTGAAACCATAAGCTTCTCAGAAGTAGAGAAAAGTGAATGAAAAAGAGGGTGATATATACCACGGGAAAAGAATTTTGAGATATGAAATATATTGAAAGGTAGAAGAGTAGCCGAGGAGTACTGAGAAAGGAAGAGATCGGTGGAGAAGTGGAGAAGTGAGATCTTTCAAAATTTTGAAAATATAATAATTAGTTCTAACAGGGGAAAAAATCAACATGTTTGATAAAATGTAAAGTGTATGCATCAATTATCACATGTATTGTGGTTTTCATGGATTTTAGATTTGTTTACAGTGTTAATGTTAGGAGTATATGATATCTCAAAACCAAAAATAATGTTATTCAATAGACAACATAACATATATACGAAAATGATAGAATTTTTACCAAGCATCCCGCGCATATACGCGGATTATCATCTAGGATTCATAATAGTATACCACTTTAGATTGGACCACTCAAATTTATCAATATATTTTGCTTTATGGAAACATTTCTATATTTTTCTGATTCTTTTTTTTGTTTTTATCAAAAGAGAAACACCATAAATGGATATTGCAAGTTAAAAGCTTTTTTTTTTGGATATTGCTAGTAAAAAGTTTAATCGTAAATATTATTGATATGATTTTACCCTTGAAGCAAACAGTAAACATATAATAAACCTTAAGAAAGAAAAAGAAACCAGGATGGATCATTGTAAATAGTTTTTGTTAAATCGGAAAATAGGAAATATACATATATCCCCAATAGATAATTACATAAAATTGATAAAAGAAGTAGAGAATTCAAATCCTGAAAAACATATATATAACATCCGAAAATGCATATATATGATATTCATGGAGAAATCTCTACTTCGCACACTTGATAAACTCAGAAAAATACGACTGCGTAACGGGTACACGTGGTGGTTGGTATATCAAGTCGGGGTAAAAAGTCAAACGTTTCATAGTCAACGAAATTGTTTTATTTTATTTCTTTCATGTAGCCTCTGCGGAAGAGGACTGCTTGCCGTTTTTAGGGTTTTGTCCATCTTCAATCTCAGCCCTACGATCATTTCCACAGGTACACTTGTTCACTTGACGAACGACTGCGATTGGTGCTGTCTCAGGGGATGAAACTGTGCCTAGCTTTAGCATATCCAGGCTCACCTCCGGTAACTTAGCGGCTTCCACTTCTTTCTCTCCTAGATGCGGTGTCGTTTTACAGTATTTGTAAACCACGTAGAGTATCATTTGTAGTGCACCGAGGGCAAATCCAATCACATTAGGGAACTGC